GATCATGCCCTGGTCTGGCATCACCTGTGACTGTGAGCCCAAGCCTACTTCATCGTGGAATCTATGAACCTTCCTCCTCACTAACAAGCTAATGCCTTGGCCTCTAGTTTGGCTTTTATCGGCACCAAAGAGGCTTCGTGGAGTCTCCTCCTTTTCTTCTGGATTGGGAAGTTTCTAGTCATTCATGGTGGGAAAGTACTTCTGAAAGGATAGCGGTGAAGATCTTTCTGTGCCTTATTATGAAATGAATTGGACTCAGATTGGACTGTAGACCCATAGCCTATGAAATGACTAAATATTAATGTGCCTGATTTAAGGTCTTACCAATACAGTACTCATATCCTTGGACAGGGCAGTGGAAATGGAAGCGTGTTTTGCTTTTGGTTGAAAAACAAAGAAAAGTAGACTGGCCCAGAGATTTTCCAGGAGGGGGAGCCCTTGTTCCTTGTTCCCATTCAAAGCTGTGAGGGTTTGCATCATCTGTGACTAAGTTACAACAGAACAAAAACAATCATTGCTATATGTCAAGCTAAGCAAATAGGAGAATATTGTCATAATTTCTGTTTGGCATTATTACTTTATCCCACAGAATTAACTCTTTACCTATATGGAACTCAGTTTTGTAGGAGAGTTTCTTTATAATTCCTGCTGTGGTTTTGATGGTTATAGACATTGTGTATGTCCTTTTGGCAAGATGCTAGGCTAACCTCTATTTTAGTTTTAAGTTAGAAGGAAAATATAAAACAGAATTAGGAATACGACCTCCTTATTTAACTGTATTTTCTCCTTAGCTTTAATCTTCCCCATTCTTTTCTCCAAGTCCTTTCTTTAGAGAAACATGATTGACAGTACCCACACCCTATTTTGCAGTGTGTTAACTTCTTGAGTAGTTAACGTACTACAGTACCATCATTATTAGCTTTCAGAACAGTTTTCAGTACATCAGTGCGCATCAGACCAACTAAGCTGGAAACTCTTCTCTTGACATCTCTTCTTATTTTCCCACAACTTGTAGCACAAAACTGGACACCTTGATTCCTGACAAATGTTGTATTAGTCTGTTTTCATGCTGCTAATAAAGACATACCTGAGACTGGGTAACTTATAAAGAAAAAAGGTTTAATTGATTCACAGTTCAGCATGACTGGGGAGGCCTAAGGAATCTTAGAGTCATGTTGGAAGGGGAAGCAAACACGTCCTTCTTCACATGGAGGCAGCAAGGAGAAGTGCTGAGCGAAAGAGGGGAAAGCCCCTTATAAAACCATCAGATCTCGTGAGAACTCACTCACTATTGTGAGAATAGCAGCATCGGGGTAACCACCCTAATGATTCAATTACCTCCCATCGGGTCCCACCTATGACATGTGTGGATTATGGGAACTATAATTCAAGATGAGATTTGGGTAGGGACACAGCCAAACCATATCAAATGTTAAAAATGGTCATTTAACAGATGACCGGATTTTAAAAAAACAGATAGGAGTGATGGCTAGGAACCAGGGTAGGTTCACCTAAAACAAGTTACCCCAAACTAATCTAATTCAAAAAATATTATTCTGGGCATGTTGATTCTGAATTTCAGTAGTATTTTTCACCCCAAATTTCTCATGTTATTTTTGTGGATAGGATAGAATTAAGCCTCAAAGAATATAGTTATATGACTTTACAAATGGTTAAATAAAACATATTTAATATGTTTTATATAATACCTGAAAAAAGTATTAACATTAATTTGTAGAGAGATCTCTGGTAGTTTGCCATAGCTTTATTGGTTTAAATAAAAAAAATTTTTGGTACATTTAGCCTTTTTTAAAAATGTGTATTTGCCTACAGCTTTAGAAGAATATATAAAAGGCATGTGTTTGAAATTTTCTGATGACACAAAGCTGGGAGGAATATCTAATGCTTTAGATAGTACACTCAAGATTAATTTTTTTTTCATTAGGCTGGTGTAATAGGAAATATGAAAGATGTTATACAGAAATATTTTAAAAACCAACTATAAATGTATAGGAAGGGAAACATGATTTAATAGTGATTTATGTAGCAAAGATCTAGGAATTTTTGTTGATTAAAACTTAATATGAAGACATAGTGAGACACAATTGCCAGAATGCCAATGAAATCTTTGGACATGTCAATATAATAGTTCAGAACACAGAACATCAAAGTCCTTACTATACATAGACTTGTTGAGGCTGCTCTGCAGTTGTGTTTGGTTCTGGGCATCATGTTTTAAGAGAGATGCAGAGAAGCTGGGATGGATCCAAAAGAGCCTGACTGGGAAGAAATGCCTGTAAAATAAATCATGGAGAATAGTTGAAAGGTTTGGGAATGTCCAAGTCAGCATAAGTATTTATGGGAGTCCTATGAGTGGTTTTCAAGTATTTGAAGGTTATCAACATAGAAAGGCCTTAGACTTGGTCTAGGTGACCCCAGGAATGGAATTTGCTATGTGGCAAGAAGACACGTCTGAAAAGAAGACATACATGTGGCCAACAAATATATGAAAAAATGCTAAATATCACTAATCATTAAAGAAATGCAAATCAAAACCACAATGAGATACTATCTAACACCAGTCAGAATGGCCATTATTAAAAAGTAAATAAAATAAAATAAAATAAAATAACAGATGTTGGTGAGGTTGCAGAGAAAAAGGAATGCTTATACACTGTTGATAGGAGTGTAAATAAGTTCAGCCATTATGGAAAACAGTGTGGCGATTCCTCAAAGAACCTAAAACAGAACTAGTATTTGACCCAGCAATCCAATTACTGGGTATACACCCAATGGAAAATAAATCGTTCTACCATATAGACACATGCACTTGTATGTTCATTACAGCACTATTTACAATAGCAAAGACATGGAGTCAACCTAGATGCCCAGCAATGGTGGACTGGATAAAGAAAACGTGGTACCTATACACCATGCAATACTACACAGGCATAAAAAAAAGAATGAAACATGTCTTTTGCAGCAGCATGGGTGTGGCTGGAGGCCATTATCTGAAGTGAATTAACACAGGATCACAAAACCAAAGACTGCAAGTTCTCACTTATGAGTGGGGTTAAACAATGGGTACTCATGGACATATACGGCAGCAATAGACACTGGGGATTACTAGAGTGGGGAGAGTGGAAGGGTGGGGGTAATGGTTGAAAAACTACCTACTGGGTACTAATGCTTGTTACCAGGGAGAGTGAATGTCCCAGCTCTTGTCTAACTTGGAAGAAAGATTTCAACCAAGAGACAGTAGGAAGACAGTGAAAAATTTTATTGAAAAGAAATATAGTGTAAAGAGCTTATTTTAGGAAAAAATGGGTACACCTCAAAGGAGGAATGGGATGATCCTGTGCGAAAACAGTTCCAAAGGTTCTGTGCAGGGAGCTTTATCATGTTGGACTTTTTCTGCAAATTACTGCCCCTGTCTCAAGTCTCTACCTTTCTCCTTTGCCTCGTTTTTCCTGCTCCTGCCTTAACTCCTCACCTAGGCTTGTGGGACCCTCCCTTACTATTGGTTAATGTGCATGTGTGGGCTGGTGATCAATACAAATCCTGTCTGATGGTGGCCCTGCTCATTGCTACCATCCTAGAAAGGTTGTATAGTGGTCAAATCTATACCTGTTGGGCCCGCATATCTCTTTGGAATTTCCTTATCTGTCCTAATTTGTACTTGTGGTGCCAGGTTTCTCTTGGTAATGTCCCCTTTGCCCGTCTTTTTCCTTTTTTTTTTTTTTTTGGAGGAGTCTTGCTCCATCACCCAGGCTGGAGTGCAGTGGTGCAATCCCAGCTCACTGTGACCTCTGCCTCCTGGGTTCAAGTGATTCTCCTGCCTCAGCCTCCTGAGTAGCTGGGACTACAGGCGTACACCACCATGCCTGGCTAATTTTTGTATTTTTAGTAGAGAGGGGGTTTCATCATGTTGGCCATTCTGATCTCGAACTCCTGACCTCAGGTGATCCACCCACCTCTGCCTCCCAAAATGCTGGGATTACAGGTGTGAGCCATTGTGCCTGGCCCCCTTTGCCCTTCTTATTAGCATATTGCTAACGACATTCTGACATTTTAACTGCAGAATGATTGATTATTGGGGTGTCTTAAGAGGCATTCCGTGGTGTTTCTTTCTGTATGGCTACCTCCTCTCTCTCCTACCCACATGTGATTAAGTGCTCCCAACCCCCACAAGCATTAGAGATGGCATTAATATGCAAATTTTAGGTGGTCCCTCAGGTGTGAGTCTTCCCAGAGGTTTCCTTTCCCAGGAGCTACCCTCCTGTTCATGTCTAGCCCTCTACCCACTCTAACATGCTCTTTACCTGGTGACAGGATCATTCATACACCAAACCTCAGTGACACATAGTTCTCTCATGTGACAATCCTGCACACATGCCCCTGAACCTAAAATAAAATTGGAAAAAAAAAGTTGTTAAAATTAAAAAAAGAAGTTACAGGGAGGCAGGTTTGAATTTCTCATAATAAGGACCATTCTAGCAATTCCCATTCTGAAATGGGGACAGGCTGCCTTGTGAGGCAGTCAGTTTCCCATCACAGAAGACCTTCTAAGAAAGACCTAGGAGCCCCTTGTCAGAGGTAGCTAAAGGGGTCATGCTTTGGGAAGGTGGACCAGATGATTTCTGAAGTTCCCTCCTGCTTTGCAAACCCCAACAGGAAGGAACTCAGTACCTGCATACAGTAGGTACTCAAGCAATGACTGCCAAATAGTTGAGTGCCTGACTCAGAAATCTCAGGGGTAGACTTTTGCATTTGATACATATTTTGTCACAGGTGAGTTTATGGCATGGACCAGTAATTTCACCTAGTATCAGAAGCGTATCATCTTGGGGAAAATGAAGGCTTTGAGTCACACAGAGTTGAAATTTCCTAGATAACTGGCTTATCTTTCTTACTCTGGCTGAGGCTTGTAGGTTTTAGAGCTGTTTCTGATAATGAGCAATGCCTTGCCCTAAACTAACATGATGCTATTTCTTTTTCAGGATAATCGTATCCACACATCGAAATATAATATTCTCACCTTCTTGCCAATTAATTTATTTGAACAGTTCCAAAGAGTGGCAAATGCCTATTTTCTTTGCCTTCTGATTTTACAGGTAATATTTAGGTTGTATTTCTTTATTATCTGTTTGTTTAAAGTATTCATATGCTTTTAAAAAGTAGGTCAATTTACTTAGCTAAATGTTTGTGATTAGATAAAATCATCCTTTATCAGATTTTTAATCTTGTTGTTGCTGTTTCTCTTCACAAACGTGGGAGGGGTAGGAATGGTTAAAAAGTAGTACATTCATCATTTTAAACACTGAGGTCACTTTAAAACACAGCCTTGCACTTTATTTGAACCAAACCAGAGCCTAATAATTACTGTTCATAGCCTCCCTCCTTTCTTTATCTCCCTCTTACATCTACAGGGTGGGGATTGCCAGAGTTGAGGCAAAGAGTCTTAGCTGACTAAGACTGAGTAAGTTGCGGAGCTTAATTTTGCACATTTAATTTTCATTTAAGAACAGTGACATATTTTTTATATATGTGAAGTAAGTGATGATGCTATATATTATTTCACTGTAGGGTGACTACTTTTACAGTTTTGAATGGTTAATTGGTAGTTAATAACCTTTGCTTTTTCTCCCGTCTGACTAAAATTTGCCCTTAAATGAAATTTCAGATTTTATGGATATTTTGGGAAGGAAAAAATATAAATCAAGGAAACTACATACATATATACACATATATACTGTACACACACATAAATAATTCATGTTAGCCAGTTATTTACCTAGTATTTATGTTAGCGTACTTTAACCAGATCAAACTGGTGGGTCGAGAATGGCTAAGAAGTAAGAAGATGGATTAGATTAATAGATTTGAGTACTGTTTTCTCTTTAATTGAATATCTGTTTAAGAATCTTTATGTTTTAAGTGACAGAAATCTTAGTTTAAGCAAAAGACGAATATATTCATGGGTATCTCATTTCAAGTATTACTGGATTCATGGGCACAGTTTCATCAGGATGTGGCTTCTCTTCTCTGTTTTTTTTTTTTTTTTTTAACACATTGACCTTTCTTAGGTAGGCCCTTTCTACTTGGTGGCCCTGACAGCTTCCTAGTTCCAACTCAAGTCAGAGAGAGAGAGAGAGAGAGAGAGAGCAGGGAGGGGAGGGGGAAGCGGGGAGAGAGAGAGAGAGAGAGAGAACAAATGAGGGAATTACTTTTTCTGTTGCTCCAGCAAAAGTCTTGAGATTAGTTCTGATTGGAGCTATATCTTCATTCCTAAACCTGTTACTGTGGCTCAAGAGTTTGATTCAGTAATTGGCTTAACCAAGATCATATGCCAAACCCTGGATCCATGGTAGAATCAGTTTCCTAAAATTATGTGGACAGAAAGTGAGGGGATATGATGTTTCCCTAAGAAATAGGAGTATATTTGAGAAGAACTGGGTGCTGATCAGGAAAACAAAAGCCAACAATGAATAAACACCTTACTATTTATTGAAGAAAGCTTACAGTCCAAGATTTCTCCTCCCACCTCTCCCCATGAAATCGTTTTTGGTTTCTTCAAGTAACACTTCACACCATTCCAGAATTTTGAATTCATTTCTCTAATGGCTTTCTCTTTTGTGGCCAAAGGCTCGTCTTCATAGAATTTTATATATAGAAGGGAACTTTGGGATGGTTCAGTCTAACCTCTCCTTTCTTTATTGATGAAGAACTTAGACCCAGAGAGATTAGGTGGTAAGGCTTTCACTGTGAGTTGATGATGAACTAGGACTAGAATTTAGCTTTTCTGACACCAAGCTCAATATTTTTACTGCTACATCAGAGGCTTTTGAGTTTTTTTTTTAAAGTCTTATGTAGAAGCTACTGTATAAAAATGGATTTAGAGTTGTTTTGATGGGGCCTGATCTTTAGCCACTGACCATCTCTACCCCATCCTTTCCTGTCTGGTGGCCCTGAAGCAGCTCCAAAATGAATCCCATTTGAAACCACTTGTCTAAGAGATTTATGTCACTGTGTCTCTCTTATGTGGGTGGCTTTGGATGTATAGGCACAAGGGAATAGGCCTTGGAGTTCAAGAGACCTTGTTTCAAATTTTAACAGTATGTGATCTTGGCCCAGTTGCATGATCTCTTAGATTCTTCATTTATAAAATGGGGACATGATACCCAGGTCTGCAACATTTCCTGACTCCTGGTCACCATTCATAATGTAGTATTCTGTGTTGTGTACTGGGGGTACTATTTATGTGAAATACAAACCTTCTGGGATTATACAAAAGCAATGCTAGTAAGAATCTAACTCAGTGAACTTTTCTGAGGATTAAATGACATAATAAATGGAAAGTACCTGGCACAGTGTCTGGTGCAAGGCAGATGTTCAAATAATCTCTCTGGGAATTGGTAAAAAGAGTAGTTAGTAAAATTGTTAAAAGTTGAGATGAAAAGCTGAAAAAGATGGGTGAAATTTAACATATTGGAGAAGGTGATCATCTGTGAAAGATTCAAGAAGCTTCTTCCCTTGCTATAAAAATTTCAGTTTTCGGTTAGGTAGTTTGAAAACAAGTTCAATAATACTTCTACTTTATGTGTCTTATAACCAAATACAAACACTTAAATTATTGAAAGTCAATCTTCATTTGTAAAAATAAGTCAATATAACCCCATTAATTTCTGCTAAGTCTTATAAAATTAAATGACACAATTTGGAAGATATATTTTCTAACTTTAAAAGCCCTAAACTATTTGGAATGTTTGTTTCAGCTAATTCCAGAAATCTCCTCCTTGACCTGGTTTACCACCATTGTGCCTTTGGTCTTGGTGATAACTATGACAGCTGTCAAAGATGCCACAGATGACTATGTGAGTATTTGCTCTTGAGCATTCTTGAGGTCTCAATTTCAGTTATGGCTTCTCAGAAATAGATAATGAAGATACATTTGAAATTTTGAATGAAGTTATTTTGGTCAATATCATATAAAGCTATTTTGCTATTTGTTTGATGATTAATACAGGTACCATAGAACCAGAGCCTGTTTAAAAGCAAGAGGGTTTCAATAACTAGATTCACTTTCTTCTTTTATGGATGAGAAAACTAAAGCCTAGAAAGAGCTAATGATTTGCTAATAATATGACCAATTTGTGGAAGAGCAGAATTAGAAATCAACCTGCATTCACTCAGTGAAGTGTTACTTATTCTTTATCACATGTCTTTGTTTAAATTGTGAGAGTTGGTAAATATTAGGTATTCTCATACATGCTTGTCGTTACATTAGAAGTTACAAAGTCAAATATAGTTGACCCTTGAATGATGTGGGGGTTAGGGACACCAATTCCCTGTGCAGTCAAAAATTCGTGTATAACTTTTGACTCCCTCAAAATCTTTACTAATAGCCTATTGTTGGCCAGAAGCCTTACCAATAACATAAACAGTTGATTAACACATATTTTGTATATTTATTATGCACTGTATTCTTACAATAAAGTAAACTAGAGAAAAGAAAATGTTATTAAGAAAATTATAAGGAAGAGAAAATATATATGCTATTCATTAAGTGGAAGTGGATCATCATAAAGGTTTTCATTCTTGTCATCTTCATGTTTAGTAGGCTGAGGAGGAAGAGGAAGAGGAGTGGTTGGTTTTACTGTCTCAGGGGTTGCAGAAGCAGAGGAAGGGGAAGCAGGAGAGCAGGCACACTCAATGTAGCCTTTAGAGAAAAAAAAATCTGTGTATAAGTGGACCTGTGCAGTTCAAATTTATGTTGTTCGAGGGTCAACTGTAGCTTCAAAAGTCAGGAAACTAATGTAAATAAGTCAGGTATACGGCAATAGATAGTTTTAAAGTCTGCATAACCCAAAGGAAGTAATTCTCAGTCAAAGACAAAACACAGTCTTGGGAAAACCAAACATTCTAAATCCAGACAAATTATATTTTCATCCTGAGTGATTACATGTGCCCCCTCAATAACTGTCTAAGCCAATGAGTTACAGGTTTATATTCCTAGCCCAAGTCACTCCTCTGAGCTCACACCTATATTTCCTGTTGCCTATTTTTAACCTATCTGTATCTTTAAAATGGTTTTCTTTTAGACAGCATATATAGTAGGGTAATAATTTTTAATAAAATCTGAAAATCTCTACCTTTCAATTGGAATATTTAACCCATTTATGTTAATATAATTATCATTATGATTAGGCCATCTATCATCTTGCTGTTGCTTTCTATATGCCCCATTGGCTCTTTGTTCTATTTTTCTCTGCCTACTTTTAGATTAATTGAGTATTTTTTTTTGTGATTCCATTTTATCTTTATTATTGGCTTAACAGACATACTTTTTCATGGTTGTTTTAGTCTGTAATAGTCTATCTCAAGTAATCCGGCTTCAGAACCCTGGCACTTACTCACCACACCCCTCTGTGCTAAGCTATGTGGATAATGCAAAAATGAAAGAGACACAGAAACTGAAGTTAAAAAAAGCTTAACATTCAATAGAGGGAGATGGGTCATGTACATGAATAACAATAATATGAGATAAAAGTGGTGTGAAATTCATAATTTAAAAGAACCAAAGTGCTTTGGTTCTTTGAGGAAGGAAGATGACCTTCAGTAGCTAGATTGATAACAGAGGTGGGATATGTGAAAGAGAATTAGGGAAGACATTATGGAGAAAGTGGGAACCCACTCCTGCTAAGGGTAGTTGAGTATGGTAAAGACATATGGGAAGATTTGTACTTATCAAGTTGGTTTATGTGATGTTTCCTCATAGTTATCTTACATATAATTTTTTGATAAATCAACAATTTGATGCAAGTCACTTTAAAATAGCACACATACACACAAATAATGTACTTCATATATCATTTTTTAAAGAATACACAGGATACACTCTTCATTCCTTAATGAAATTTCTAGCCTATTTCATGGTTCACATTTTGACTATAACCTTTGAGGTTAGTTTTTTTTTTTTTTTTGAAACAGAGTTTCACTCTGTTACCCAGGCTGGAGTGCAGTGGCATGATCTTAGCTCACTGCACCTTCTGCCTCGCAGGTTCAAGCAATTTGCCTGCTTCAGCCTCCTGAGTAGCTGGGACTACAGGCATATGCTGCCACGCCTGGCTAATTTTTTGTGTTTTAGCAGAGATGGGGTTTCACTATGTTGGATTTTTTTTTTTAATTTTAATTTTTTTTTTTTTTTTGAGATGGTGTCTCGCTCTGTCACCCAAGCTGGAGTGCAGTGGTGCGACCTTGGCTCACTGCAACCTCTGCCTCCTGGGTTCAAGCAATTCTGCCTCAGCCTCCTGAGTAGCTGGGACTATAGGCACGCACTACTACATCTGGCTAATTTTTTGTATTTTTAGTAGAGACGGGGTTTCACCGTGTTAGCCAAGATGGTCTCAATCTGACCTCGTGATCTGCCTGCCTTGGCCTCCCAAAGTGCTGGGATTACAGGCGTGAGCCACTGTGCCTGGCCCCGGATTTTTAACAAACACATAGGATCCATCCACACTGATGAGTAATATCACATTAAAGTGGTTAGCGTCGAATGTTCCTGGAGTTTACTGATTCCTGTGAGGTTGCCATTGTTCAAGGTACTTTGGGAGCTCTTCTTATAGAATTGTCTTCTGAAGGTCAGTGTACAAGGTAGTTGTATGACTTAATGGCTTCACAGCTTTGGAAACAAATGCTACTTCTCAGCATAATCAAAAACCTTATCAACCAGACATGCTTTCTAAGAGTGGCTTTCTTATATTTCAAAACATAAGACATCTCATTATGTCTTTTCAAAGGACATAGAGCTCGATTCTCAAAGGATAGAGAACATTCTGGAGAACGGGCTATGAGCTCCAGAGGTAATTCTAAGAGAGGAAATTTCAACAATCATTTGAGCAATGGCATCTTTGGAGTGAATGTGTGGTTTTTCCATGTTATCTGATTTTTCAGGGAAATGGTACTCATTTAGATGTATGAGTTCCTACATATTGGCCTTAAAGGTCTTCATTATAGTCACACTTCATAGAAGAATAAATGGTAGAGTAGAAAGTATATTGGCTTTGGAGAAAGACACCTTACTACCCTACCACCTTACCTTACCATATACTGACAGTTTGACATGAGGCAAATGACTTAACTTCTCAAACCTTTCCTTTTCTGTATAACATGGCCAATGACACCAGCACTGTTGGAAAGACAGAATGAGATGATATGGGTAAAGCATCAGGTATAGAACCTGACTCACAGGGAATACACAATGAATGTAGCCCTCTACTCACTTTCTTTCCTGTGGAAGTTCCCCTCTATGACTTCATATTTATTTCTAGAGGAGAAATTGTCAATAATAGTCAGGCTGGGCTTGAAACTACCATTTCTAATCCTTCCAGGCTCCATCTACTCCAATATCAAGTCCTCTTGGTGAAACCTGAGCAGAAGTAGAAGTGGTTGCATCTCCCAGAGAGTGAACTGCTCAGCTTTTGGGGGATGAGCTGACTGGTCTTTTTCTGTGATGTTGAGCTGGTCAATTTAGGAGATTTACGTGACTAAACAAAAAGTCTCCTTTTGATTCCGTTGCAGTTAATGCTTGAATGTGCCTTCACTTTTGTGATGTTATGTGCCAGTTCATTAACTGGACACCTTCACCAGTCAGGGTCTTGGCAAAACACAGAAGTCACCCTGAAATTTGGTGGATTGGAGAGTTTAATAACGAAGGGATCATTTACAAAGGGTGTGGGCATGGAAAAGCAGCTATGACAGCAACATGGGTGGCAATACTACTAGAACTAAAGAGGCAAAGGAAGGAAGCAGTGACCAGACATGGAGATGTAGTTGAGGCCTGTTTGTAGCAGCTGCGGCTATCTGTGGAAGCAGCCATTGCTAACCCAGCTAGAAGAAAGCCAGGGGATAAATTCCCTCATTTCACTCTTCTCTGACCCTCGAATCTTCTGCCTGTACTGTCTGTTGGCCAAATCTTACCAGAAGTCAGAGGGCAACGACCACAGAGCCCAGCTTTTCATGGCACAGGGCAGAGTGAAGAATGCCATGTAGATATGGTGGAGGAGAGAATATTCAGCAACCCCTCCAAATTATGCACTCAGATCAAATAATGTTTCCATTTCTATTGTTCTACTGGTAGAAAGTTTTCATGTCAGTGGGTGACGTGACTTAATTTACTCCTTTACCAGTATTATAAACTATTTTTATGTTAACAAATGCTGAATAGCTTTGTTTTCTTATTTTTACTGGTAACATCTATTAACTTATACCTGCCATTCTGAGTTTGCACTGGGCATAGCATAATAGAAAGATTGGGATGGATTTGGGAATGCTGTAGAAAAAGGAAAAGAGCTGGTTGAAGCATTTTATATTTTGTGATTTTGACACAACATTTTGTGTTTAAGAAAAAAAGAAAACATTCTGATGATTAAAATCTATGAAATCAAAGTTTCTGTCTCCTGAACAGACTACCCTATTCATCTGTGCATGTAGGCTAATTTGCTGAAATAACTGTATTATAGCCTATTACTAATGGTATTACCATTTTCTCTATATTACCTTTATTTCTCTTACAGCTACTACCTGATCATGACATTTCACATAGAAAGACTTACCTGAATGACTCCTAATTTATGAGCATAGTAGGGAGCTCTTAATAGATTCTTTCAAGCTATATAAGATACTTACATTACTGGAGTATACAATAAGAAATACAATCATTTGGACATAAATCACAAATCTGCACCAAATGTGTTTCAGTATTGGATTCTAATTTTTGTTTTAAATGCTCAGTACTTCATAAGATCACTGTTAACAATTAGAATTTCTGGAGAATAAAAATTCATGTTGTTACAAATAACTTCTTGACTTCAAAGAAATCCATAAAACAGAAAGAATGATGTTCTAATAAAGCATTGAGTACACATGGGAGAGAAATGGAAGTCCCATTCCTTGTTAAAGACATCAAAATTAATACATGGTTTTCTCTGAGACTATAAGGTACAGTAGAGAGCATACTGTCTTCTTAGAAGCAGCTAAACGTGTGCGGAGATTGGAAGAGTACGTGGCTAGCCCTGTTGTTTCATTGGTGACATCCAGAGTGTAATGTAGTGAGAAGGGTTTTGATTTAGATTTAGAACATGTAGAGCTGGGTTCACAGTAAGCCCAAACAGTGTCATCTTAGACCAATGACAGCACTGTTTAAGTGGATGAACTCAAAGTATTGCCAGTGTGCTTATTTGGGCTGACAAAGTACCTTGTAATGTATTTTCTCACAAACACTTTGATTTTTCAGTTTCGCCACAAGAGTGATAATCAAGTGAATAATCGGCAGTCTGAAGTGCTCATCGACAGCAAGTAAGACATACGTTCTTTGGGTTATTCTGAAAACTTCTAGGACCCTGAAACAGCTCTTGACAATTGGTGACATTCTCTTTTAATTAGATATATGATTCTTTTTGCCCTTTATTAAAAATTGAACTTTAATTCCATTTTATCTTCATGGCTTTCTTTTATGTTTAGCAAATGCTTCTGCTACCCACTCAACTTTGACTTCAGATTCCTTTGGAGTACCTTTTGTGGAACACAGACACCTCTTTGTCACTTTCCATTTCTAGATCCAATACTATTTAGAATTGGTGCATGTGGGGTTTTGTATGTGGCAGATGTTTCATGAGTGTGTGAATTATTTAATTTGGTAATTTCTGGGGAATATTGTAGAGAGACTTCTGACACGTTACTGTATCAAGTGATAGTGATAAGAATTTTGTATTCACTTGATAGTGGAATTTAGATGAGCCACCTACCATAGTACAAATTTTTCATTGCTTTTATATTCATCCATCGATGAAGAAAAAGTATTTTTGGGAACAGTACTAGAATCAGAAATGCTTTAAAAACACATGTGTTTATACACAAATGACAGCAAAAACACCTCCAGAAAACTTAGCAGAGGTAATTTTAAAACTTCTTTCCATAATTTCTTACTCTCTTTTTCACTGTCCACCTCCTTATTTTTTTGCTAATAATAACATGTGGGAAAGTAAATTTTAATGATGTACTTAAATCTGGCAGTCAATCACATCAGGCAATGATTTTGAATCATTTGTGTACTGTGAAGAATGTAATTTTTAAAGAGAAAATCATAAAATGAATTAACCATATGTGAGGGAAAATGCTAAAGATATCAAGAGGGGCTAGGTAGCCTAGGAAATCCATGGTGATATTGAAGTAATCGCTATAACTAAAATATTGACTGATTACTAATTACATAATGAATACCTACAGTTTTTCTTTTGACTTGTTTTAGAAAATGATATAAAAAGGACAGTGAAGAAAAATGATCTCAATCTAGAACCATAGTTTTAGAGACAGAGCCTTGGAAAGTGTGATCCTGATGTGACATGGATAAGCCATAAAGGTGCCTGGACCCCCATGGTTCAATTCCAGGTTAACGGGTTTTGAATCGTTGCCACCACAGTGTGGTGTTAAAAGTATGCATTTTGCACTGAGAGACTTAAATATGAGTTTTGTCCTTCTCTGAATAATTCTGTGGTCTTGGGAAAGTTTTTAATCTCTGTAAGCATTGGATTTCTCCTCTGTAAGGTGGGGTTATAATGGGTTCTCTCCCATGGATGGAGTTGCTGTGAAGGTTAAAGGAGTTCTGTAAAACGCTTGGCCCAGTGTCTTGTGTGTTGTTAGCATTCTCCATGTAGTCTTGTTACTTCTTTAAAAGGCTCTTTAGAAGACAGAGTGTGTGTGGTTTTGGGTAGTACTGCTGCATATCTTGACTTTCTCAAGTCTGAAAGTTCTGACTAGGTATTAGATCTGATGTTAATACGTTCCTTTCCCAAGGAACATCTAATCATCAGTCTCATTACTTTGAAGTCTCATCTCATATAAAGTGTGTTAAAAGTAAATACACTTACATAGTGAATTTGAACTAATAACTCTAGCATATCTTTTATTGTCTCTCAAATTACCGGTTAAAATACCTGGATTGTGATAGATGTTGGGGCCTCTATTTGGAGGCCATGAGATTAATCCAGTAACTTAGATATTCAGAAATTTGATGACTATATGTCTCCCACACATGGTGGCTATCATTATCATTATCATTTGAAATAGTGTTAGTGTACTTTCTTGTGGTTTTATTTAGCTTTTTGTTAATTCCTTGTGAGACAGTATGTCTTTATAACTCAATATGGTGTGATGTTTTGAAAAGCATTGTCGCTGATCCTGTAAAGTTGAATTGAGAATGGAACGGAGTATTTTTTAGGATTCAGTGAAAAATCAGGCAAAAATGTCCATTTGAGAGATTACCCACAACCTTGAGCTCCCCTAGGGTAGGGGTCCTCTCTCTTGATGGTGTTTGTGTCCCTTGAGCCTACCACAGTATCTGTTGAATTTTCAAACTAAGCTGTAACAAGTGTCCTTGCAGAGAGGGCAACCTACAAGACGGGCTTATTCTGTTAAATTTTGCTAAATCCCATCATTAGCCAATTCCAGTGCATAGGATGGTGGTTTCTGTAGAATGTGCTCAGGCTATGGAGACTGGCTTTTCACTTTTTGGATTTTGAGATACTGGGGAAATCAAATGGGCTTAGATCTGAACTAGTACAAGGAGTGTTGAGTCCTGTGGAGTTGGTGGTTATGGAGGATAATGTTGGGGTTCTGCCCAGATCTCCCTGTCTTCCTGTACTCATCCCCAAGCACCCATGTATATTACTTCTAAGAGCTTGCACCTGCCACTTTCTTCATGGCATGGCCCTTGGGATGTTGGACCCGGTGACCAATTGGGGCAGGCACGTGAAACAGCAGCTCCCCTGCCTCAGGTTGGACCAACTCTGAGGTGTAATTTGCACTCCTGAGTGCCCCTCGAGCTTGGGCTGAGGACAGGACTTGCCTGCAATCATGTTCTTGCTTGGTTTCTTTCCCTTTCCTGTGTTGGTTCTCATCTCCCTTCCCAGTTTCTCCTAGAAATACTTTCTTAACAAATCACTTGCTTGTGGATACTCATCTCAGGATCTGCTTCCAGGGAAGCAGGTATAAGATAGTAAATGCATAGTTAAGCCCATGGCAATATTAAGAGAAAATATTTTAAAAGTGTTTTGGCCCTATCCTTGGCATCTGTGGGCCACAATTCAGGAATAAAGTAAAATGGCTGGAGGGGATCAGGGCCCTGGGAGTCCAGGTGTTACTGGGGTGGGTGTCACATTGGGTTGGGCACTGCCAGGTGCTCGTGGCTTCGCTTGTGTATTCCTGGCAGAAGGTCTTGGACTTAAGGTCTTCAAACTAGGGCAGGAGCCATTGGCATGTCCTGGAAGGAGGCAGGGCATAGTCGGCTTTGGAGAGGAGGACCCTAAAGGGAAGAAAGTGGGATGAAAGTAGCAGTCAGGAAATCTGGGTCTTTGTAAGTGATTACTGTGTGACTTTGGGCAGTTGATTTTCCTTCTGGGCTTCAGGTACCCCTTCTCCTGTGATCAGGAGCCAGGAAGGTGGGTGGCTACATTCAGATTCAACACGTTTATTGAGCAACTACCATGTGTTCGCCCCAGTGCTCCTACACTTAAGTCTCATAAAACCCTAAGGTGTGGGTAATAGTGCCCCAATTTTAAAGATGAGGAGATTAAGGCCCCGAAGGGATGACCATCCCAGGGTTTCATGGCAGGTAAGAATCTACATTAGAGTTCTATCCATTCATGATGCAATGTGTCAAGTGTGGACTTTGTGGTCTGATCAAGTGTTCTCTATTTATTTTATGTTTGAAGGGCTTTGTATATAATCATAGAAATATAAACATCATTATGTAATATATATGTAGTTTACCTATATGTTAATATACATATGCAAATACATATATACATCCACACTTTCAGTGCCTGGAGCATTACTCATTAACATTCTTAGCACCAAGTGAATTATAACGTAAACTTCAGCCACGATATAATTATGGAAGTCAAACCCTTCCCTTTTAACCTTCCTTTACAATTTCACTTTTTTTGTTTTCTTACTCTATTCCTTTCAAATCAGGATAAATCTTCTGCCTTTGCAAACTGTTGTAATATGTGAAAGTGCTTAAGAAATGGGTGTTCTTTTAGCTTTTGGTAATATCTTTTGATGACTTTTGTTTTAAAAGTAAGTAGCGGTGGCATGATTCCTTATTGTAGACGTTAACGTGACTGCTGCACAAGAAGTGCACATTCTCAGCCCTAGGCTACAAGATACTGTTGGCGAGTCTGCGAGTACCAATACATACTTAAATGTTTCATAAGAGGATGTTTCCTCAAGTCATACTAACTATTCCTGGCTACCATGGGAGCAACTGTGCAGATGAGGGGCAAGTGAGAGGGATCCTGAAAGTTCCTGCAGAGGTCACCTAATCCCATGCTCCTCAAACTGGACATCATATTAGAATCACTTGGGGGAGTTAAAAAATACCCACATCCCATTTACAACCCTGAGCAATTAAACGAGGGTCTTGGAGATGAGGCCTTGGTGTTTCTTAAAGTTTCCAAGATGAGTCTAATGTACAGATAGGTTTGTGAGCCTCTAATTGAAGCCATGTCTCTACCCATATCTGTCTGTTTATACTTATATTTTATGTCTGATTTTAAAAGACACTGAATGGCCAGGTGTGGTGGCTCATGCCTGTAATCCCAGAACTTTGGGAGGCTGAGAAGGTGGATAACCTGAGGTCAGGAGTTCGAGACCAGCCTGACCAACATGGTGAAACCCCATCTCTACCAAAAATACAAAAATTAGCTGGGCATGGTGTCAGGCACTGGTAATCCCAGCCACCCAGGAGGATGAGGCAGGAGAATCATTTGAACCCAGAGGGGGAGGTTGCAGTGGGCCAAGATCATGCCATTTGCCCTCCAGCCTGGGTGTTTTTTTTTTTTTTTTTTTTTTTAAGATTAAAAAAAAAAGAAACATGAGGAAAGGAAATCAATTTATACGAAAATGGTAAGCATCTATACACCATTGGTGGGAATG